CTTTTATGTTGGATTTTCTTTTTATTGTTCTGAAAACTTGATCTAAAAAGTATTATCAATAACCCATCCAATTATTAACCAATCCTTGTGGCTGTCTGTTCTACAAGAAGGAATGATCAATTTTGGGTTTTTTTTGTTTGTTTGTTTTCTAGTTTGTGCCAGATTTGGTATAAGTTTCTAAGGAGATGTTAATGTTCTTAGTGTATTTTTAAATATTACCAAATTAGGTAAAATTATCTTTCCATGATCAAGTTGAGAGTTACATGATTTTCTTTTTTTTAAATTAAGCATTTTGAAAGGCTGGGTTACAGGGCTGGGACTGAGCCAGAGAGAAACAGATCAGTCTTCCATCAAGTAGTTCATTCCTCATTTGGTCACAACAGCTGGGACTGAGCCAGATCAAAAGTAGAAGCCAGGAACTCTCATCTAGATCTCTCCTATGGATGACAAGGGCCCAAACACTGAGCCGTCTTCTGCCACTGGGTCAGAAGTGGAGCAGCCAAGACATAGAGCAGCCCAAATCATTACACCAAAATGCTAGTCCCATTCCTGATTTTCTTAGTTATGTTTAATTTTATGGCTTGCTAATACTGCATTTCCAGGAGATAAATGATATAAGTGGTAAAAACAAAATGAATTAAACAAGACCTCAAAATTTCTGCATTTGGCAGGTATCTTTATTCAAGCTGTTCCTACCTCCATTCCTATAACGTACAGATAATATTATATGCCCTGATTATTGGGACATTGAAATAGATGATGGATTATATGTGTGTTTGTTAAATATGTTACAATTTAATATAATGATATAATTTATATTTTACATCTCAGAGGGATTTGTAAGCATAAGAAAGTGTCATGTCTGGGTAAATTCAGAATAATATTCCTAATGCAATTAAAGAACAGTTTAAAATTTTGACTTTCTTTTAAAATTTATTATTTATAATATATATGTTATATTGTTAATTAATAATTATTATTTTATATGCAATTTTGCATGTTTGGGTTTCCTCTCTTCCCCTTTTCTTCCTCACTCACTGTTTTCCCCTCTTTCCGTTTCCCCTCAAATTATCACAGTAGTAGATTCCCTTGCTAACAGTTACACATTTAGCTTTCTGTTACTTAAATGTATCATTTTATGTTAGGTATACGCAAAGGTGGAAAATCTAAATTCTCACTGTAAAGGTGTATTGTTCAGGAGAAGAGACACGTACTGCAACATACCTTTATTTCCCAGTATGCTAGTCTCCATTCAATTTATCTATGAGAATATATTTATATGCTTGATTACCTGTATCTGTTTATTTTATAGGTTGCATAAAGGCTATCTCATAGAGAGAACGTGTGAAGTTTGTCCATTTGGAACTGGCTTATTTCACTAAGCATAAATATCTCCAGTTAAAAAAATTTTGTTGCAAATGGTAGCATTTCATTATTTTTGTGTGTGAGAGACCTGGATTGAGTTGTCAGTCCCTTGCTTCAGCTTGGCAAGCTTTAGATGTTGGGAACATTTGTGGTATAAACTAACTTTCTCTTTCTTCCTACCTACGTCATCTTTCAAAATAAGTAATATAAATAAATGAATAGAAGTAGGAAAAATTTGAAGCCATTTCAAATATTATTTCCTATTTTTGACATTGAGTCTTATTGCTACAGTTTGTGTATTTCTCCCTAAACAAATGCAATTCCAAATTTATGTTGTCTTGTATACCTGTATCTTTGTGTTACACAAAATGTAAGTTTTTGTTTGAGGCAACTAATTGCGTAATTTGTGGCTAGCTTTTGTGAAACCAAGAAATTCTGTTAAACACAATGATAAATAACTGACAGCTTAGTTTAGACACTAATGGAGCCTAAAAGCCTTTAAAATGGCAAAATTCACCAACTTGTTTGATTTATAGGCTTATTTGTGTTACACAGTTTTGGTCATACACTTGACAATTTTTCTTTTTGTGACTTTTTTCCTAAAAATTATGATTTTGTCTTATCTGAGTGAAAGAGCCATTAGAGTTCAACAGAAGAATATGACAGCATCCAGACTGAGGATCACAGCAATTCCCAGTGCACAAGTACAGTCTCTTGTTTTCCCCCAACCTGTGCCTTTTTTGGCAGTAGGGCTCAAAAATTATTTACTACAACCACGAACCTATGAGCTATTTTCAAATTGTCTCCTACATGTTACTATATGAAATTTAGTTTAAGACATCATATTTCTTTATGGTTCAGTGATTTCCATTTGCTGTCTGTTATTTTTATAAAACCTGGAGCCAGGATGAGTTATTTGTGGTTAGGCATGTTGTGTATTCTGTAAAGTCAGAATTTCAAAAGATATCAGTTGTAGTATCTCTTTACTTGGTGTTATTTTTTTATTCCCTCTTTAAGTTCAACTGCTTCAGCACTCTGTATTTGTCTCTCTAAGCTGTAATGGAACACAATCTATGTCATATGTGGTCTGTTGTTCTAGATAAGTGCATTTTATATTAGCTACATTGATTAATTCTCAACGTTTTACTCCTTTATTGGACAATTAATACAATCTTGTAAAGACTCCCATGAGTAGTCGTATAAACTGCATCATTTTATCCAAGAACCACAAAAGCATCTAGACAAGAATTATTAAAAATGGATAAAAGGAAAATTGAGTCCATAGAATCCAATTTTGTTTCTTAGGCTCTGTCCATCCTTAGAAGTGAAAGGCATTAATTGCTCTCAGTTAAAATACTTACTGATACTGATCTGATATAGCAAGTAGGTCTCTAATGCTAGTTTTTCATATGAACTCCAGTTCATGTCCAGGTGTTTCACTTCCAATTCAGATTCTTCATAATGATCTAGAAAAAGGATCTAGGTGTTTGGACCCCCATTTCTCATCTAGGAGACCTAAATGAGGATCCTGGCTTCTGGCTTCGGCCTACCCAAGCCCTGGCCTTTGCAGTCATTTCAGGCATAAGCCTGCAGATTGAAAGATTGATGATTTTCTCTTTCTCTGTCTCTCTCTCTCTCTCCAACTCTTTCACATACATTAATAAATATTTTTTAAATATATGGGGAATATATTCTACCACCTAGGAAATAGATTTTCATAGGCTAGATTTTTCATTGTTTGAATTTCTGCTGATTTCTGCTTATAACTTCTGTGATATGCCTGTTTTCTAGAAATAAGAATACTACTTTGTTATTTTAAATCAAAAGCAAAAATGGTTTCTGCGTAATATTTCACAACTTCATGCTTCAAAATATATTTAAAAATATTTTTATAGAGATTTGGAATTTTTGAACCAATGTTACCAAAAGGAAATACAGTACTGCTCACTAATTTTAAAGTAACATTCTGTTGTATTTTTTGTGGCGACTGTTTGGAAAAGAAATGGTTTTATTTTTGTGAAGTGTGTTGGTTTTTCATGCTTTGATGCAGAGAGGATTGTTGATGAGTGCCAGGCTGCTGCAGTAAGTCTCATTAGAGTCTCACAAACTATCACTTATTTTTATTAGCTGAAGGTGTATCATTGGGGAATAAAATGTGTTACAGGGCATAGTATTAGATCCAGCCAATTTCATATAAGTATGCTTTATGTTAGTATAGCACTAGTTAGGGAACAAATACTTTTTCTGTTTTTATCAATTCATAAAATTTCATAATCTGCTTTTGTTTAAGATTTTTTGGGGGAGGGGGGGAAGTCAGATTTACGGAGAGAAAGAGGAACAGAAAGAAATATCCTCTATCCACTGGTTCACACTCCAAGTGGCCACAATGCTTAGAGCTGAGCCAATCTAAATCAGTAACTGGGAGCTTCTTCTTGGTCTCGCATCCCAAGGATCAAAATCAGTTGTCTCTTGCTTTCTGAGACCACCAATAGAGAGCTGGATGGGAAGTGGAACAACCAGGACATGAACCGGCACCCACATCAGTTCCTGGCACATGCAAGGCAAGGACATTAGCCACTAGGTTGCCTCATTGGGCCCCATAATCTACGTTTGATTATCAGTTATAACTCTGATAGTCTGTACTTCTACCAAAAATGTATCATCGGGCCTGGCACTGTGGCCTAGCAGCTAAGTCCTATCCTTGAATGCTCCGGGATCCCATATGGGTACTGGTTCTAATTCCAGCAGCCCCACTTCCCATCCAGTGCCCTGCTTGTAGTCTGGGAAAGCAGATGAGGACCGCCCAAAGTCTTGAGACTCTGCACCTGAGTGGGAGACCTGGAAGAAGTTCCTGGCTCCTGACTTCGGATTGGCTCAGCTCCAGCCATTGCAGTCACTTGGGGAGTGAATCATCAGATGGAAGATCTTCCTCTCTGTCTCTCCTCCTCTCTGTATATCTGACTTTGCAATAAAGATAAAAAGTAAATGTATTTTTAAAAAGTGTATCATCAGTAAAGGAAGCATCGATTCATTTCTCCAACAAGTATTTGGTGCACAAAACAAAGCAATTTACTATTTACTCTCACATTGGAGTGGAAAAGTAAAAAGTAAGCATAAAATATTAAGTAGTGATTATTACTGTAATTAAAAGACCAGTGTAAAAGAATAGAAGATGAGAGAAATTTAGAAGTTTGCCTATTATGTCATCTTTCCAAGTCTTCTTCCCCCAACCCCCATAAGACTTAAGTGCTATTTTCATTGTGGATTTACTGTATTATCAGGAGGCTAGCTCCATTATTTTTCATATCATTTAGGGTAACAATTATCTGGCTTGGTGTCTGTTTCCTCCCATATATTAAGCTCTCTGAGTACTGGTTCACACATCTTCATCTGTGTTACTAGTTTCTAGCCCTACATTCTTTTGTAAGAACTGTCTAGGTACGATGGTGAGCGTGTGTAAGCTCCAAAATCTGTTAGGTCTCTGGTTTGGCTGGGACCTATAAGATCTTTGTAAGACTACAAAAATTCCAAAGGGGGTGGGGGAAAGAGTGTTAAATAGGAACACATATGGCTTCATGGTCCTACTGAAATTTTGAATAGGAATGCTTCCTGAAAATTAATATTTTTATCCACAGGTACTACTGAGAGAGTGTGCTTGATCCAGGGAACGGTGGAAGCACTGAATGCCGTTCATGGATTCATTGCAGAAAAAATTCGAGAAATGCCCCAAAATGTGGCCAAAACAGAACCAGTCAGCATTTTACAACCCCAGACCACCGTTAACCCAGACCGCATCAAACAAGTGAGTGTTTAGTTGGGGAAAAACAAAGAGAAATTTCCACAAAGTAGTGTGAATTTCTTACAAAAGAAGCTTTTAAAGTCTTAACATATAAAGTTTTTTTTTTTTTAAGTATATTCTTAAGACCTATCAGAGTTGTCATTTAGTTATTTCAAAACTGTCACGGTCTCTTCCTCTGATTGATCGCTTGATTTAGTGATTGTTGAATTTATCATTGATTAGTGTTACACTAAGGAGCACTTGTGTGACTGTTTCTTATACAGTTTAAACATTTTATCAATTTAGAGGAGCTTATCCTATTTAAGATTATATTGCTTTTAGACAAAGACTAAGGATTGCAGTGAGACTATATCCTTAAATTTCGAACATCCTATTTTAGTGATGTTTGTAGTTTTCAGTATAGTTATTATGCATAAACTTTTGTTTTGTTAAATTATCCTGTTCAACATTATTATCAACAAACATGTATAAATAAATTTTGTACCTAGACTTCAGTCTTTTGTTACAAATTAGCTCTTATGTTTTGTGTAATTTGTGTAGCAGTTATATATATATACACATATATATATATAAAATAAGTGTGTGTGTCATAAAGGGCCAATGTTTCTTTTAAATTAATGAGATTCTCTGTAAAAAACTGCTTGATAAAAATGAATGTGAGTTTTAAACTTGATTAATGATTGACTTGTAGGGGGAAAGTGACATTATTTAATACTAAATATGGTGGATTTTTCCACTGTAAACTCTTCTTAAATCTACACTTTTTTGACGCTTTATGTTCATAACTATTGTTTCTGCTTTTGCCTTTTTCTAAATAACCTTTTAATTTGTGATTTAATTTTGCTCTCAACAGACTTTGCCTTCCAAAGAAATGTATTATTCTTCAGAACTCACACATTATTTACTTTGCAGAATATTTATGTTAATTGTAATAAATGTGGAATGTAGATCAGTTTTGTTAATTTCATGTTTCTTAATGGAAAATTTGTTTTCTATTAAACAGTATTATGAATGTTTGACCAATATAGAGCTGAATCCAATGCTAAACAAATATAAATACAGCAATTAATAAATAGGCAATTTATTCTAAAGTTATAGGTCAATATCCTATGTTGCATTAGTTATTTTCACAAATTTTTCATGTTTAAATTATGACTAGGGGTTAATCCGTATAAAATCCCTCACATCTCCTTGTCAGTGTCAGATAGTTCAATCTGTATAATGCCTGTAACTGAAGGATCCCTCAGTCAATATATGACAATATTTAAACCTTTGAAAACTGTAAACTTCAATGGAATTTTTTGTTTTTCACCACCCTTTAGAGTTTTAAATTATATATTTTATCTATAGTAGGTAAATAACATTGGTAGTTTAAAGACTGATGTCCTAAAAATAATACCAGTACTGTATTTTAAATCAGGGGTCCATTTGAAGATTTCTGAATTAAAATTATCTGGGTACAAGAAATTAAAGAATGAGCACTGAAATGTAAAATCTGTTGGCTATCTGAAATTTTTCATTCTCTTGCATTTCCCTTTACTTTTGAACATGTGTGATAAAGTATAAAATATAAAGAGAGAAACTTCTTGCTTTTTTTAAAGAAGTAAAACACAAATTATAGGTTAGGTAGTATATCATTGTCAGTATGTTCAGGACAACTGTATGTACTGATTTTTATTATTTTGTAAGCACAAATAGCTGCTACCCACACCGAATGGTCTGTGAATCGTTGTCGATAGTGCAGTTTTCTCTGTAGCAGTGTGAGAGTTTTAGGCTATCTAGTACTATCTTTGGAGATGATCATTGGATTTAATCTATTGCTGATTTAATGTTTTCATATAATCAAGAATGTACATGAAATAGGGATTTACCAAAAGAGACTTGTCAACTTAGGCAGTGCACCACATTTGTAATGTGAAATTTTTTAAATTTACATAAAAATCCAGAAAAAGTATAGAACATGTTTCCAAGATGTTATAGCTGAATTGTTCTTTTTTGCTCCAAGTTTGGGGCTCTCTAATTTTAAAAATATCTAAACAATATACATTCAGTACATTTTAATATATTTTACTCAAGATAGTAAGTCAGATATATAATTTAAGTGACATTTTAAAAATTGTGAATAATTGTGTCAATTACGCAGTATAAACTAGTTATCTAAAATAAATCATTTCCCTGTACAGTACATGAAAATTTTGCATGATGCTTTATTTATATTTTAAATGTCAACACATAAAATTATAGTAAGATTTCTTGCTAAGTGATAGACTTCCTTTCAAGTAACAACCTTTACATTACATTTACTTGGAATATGCTCTAAAGTAGGTAACTCTAAGTTACCTTCAAAATAATTTTGTGCTATATTATTAGTAATTTACTTCTATACAAGATTCTTTTTAAAAAATTTTATTGGAAAGGCAGATCAGATTTAAAGAGAGAAGGAGAGATAGAAAGATCTGCCATCTACTGGTTCGCTCTCCGATAGTTAGAGCTGAGCCTCTCTGAAGCTGGGAGGCAGAGTTTTTTTCAAGGTCTCCCACATGGGTAAAAGGTCCCAATGCTGTAGACCATCCTGTACTGCCCTGCCAGTCCACAAACAGGAAGCTGAATGGAAGTGGAGCAGCGTGAACTTGAGCCATTGTGCATATGAGATGCTGGCGCTTGAAGGTGGAGGATTAGCCAATTGAGCGATTGCACCTAAAGGATAAAGCTGGAGTTTTAAAGAAAATCTGGAACTGAAAAAAAAAAAATTACTTCAGCATAGAATTAGATTCATACTGAATATGAAATTGTGTATGTTATTAAAGTTTAAGTTATTACCTTTGCCCATTGGAGTTTTTTTGGGATTGATAAATGTAAAGTTCTGCTTGTTAAAAAGCATAATGTAAATGAATTTGGGCTTAAAATTGGAAATCAAATTTAGTTCTAAATAAATAACATTTGCTTTAAAAGTTAGTATTTTACACCACCTATTATGGACTAATGTTATATTATTGTATTCCCAATTGTATCATCCTCAGTGAGTAAATTATATGAAACAAATACTCTTAATGACTGAATAGGTTTTCAAACAAGTGCATTTTCTTTAAGATACCTCATAATAGTATTGTAATTTTAAATATAATGGAATTATAAAATCAAATATACTAGCCATAGTTGTTTGGAACTTCTGGATTCTTAATTCATGAATATATATATTTTAAAAACCTATGTTAGGAAAAAAAAAGTGGCTGTAAAAATTCAAGAAATTTTCTTGCACTTAAATCAGACTAACAGCTTTAAAATAATGTAATTTGAACCAAGGAATTTTATTTCATCTTGAAAATCGCCAAAATAGCACTTAAATTAATTTGTTATTCATTCATTCAATCATAAATTTATTAAATGCCCTCTTGGCAAATATTTTAAATTGTAGCCTTTACCCTGTGTGACTAATCTTAACTCTGTGTGAGACATACTTAAAACACAGCAAAACCTGAACCAATATTTGCCAAGCAAAATGAGAATATAAACAATTTTCTCTACCGTAAAAAAAAAAATTCAGAGGAACATGAAGAAACCATAGACTCGAGTGACAAACCTTGCAAAATGCATTAAAACTTGGAAATTGTGTAGTAGTTGTCTAATTTAATGAGAGAAAAAAAAGGAAAGCATTGTTTAAGGAAAAATGAAACGAATGGAATCCGAGAGGAGTACAACTTGTTGCACAGAAAAGGAACTGTCTTGGCAAACCCAGAATATTTGAACTGGGGTTTAATGTTAAGGAGATTAACTGGGGCCAGCTGATGAAGAGACTTGCATGTCAAGTGGAAGGACATCCATTAAATACAGCTTGTCTGTAATGTTTTCCTGAAGAATCTTTTAAATGTGTTTCTCAAACGTAAAAGAAACACACACACAAAGACAGAAAGAAGACAGGAAGGTGGCACCTGAGCGTTTCCTCTAAAAATCCAAAGTCTTACGCTTCATGCAGGAAAAGACAAAGCTTTTGGATGTACGGAGGTAGTGGAGCTGCTGGGAGAAGAGGAAGGTGTGTGTCAGAATGAAAACCAAAAGGCTTTTATTATTTTATCTACCAACCCCCCCTTTTTTTAAAATGAAGCATATGCAGGCTTAAAAGAACTTGAAACAGAAGTTAGAAGAAGATGCTTGTTAGTCGTATTATTCATTCAGTAATAGTTACCAAATAATTCTAATTTTTTGTTCTTTGATGTTTTTGCTTCATATAAATATTGGGAATTTAGTATAGTTTTACTTGAGCGCAAACAGTGTTTATTATACTATATGTTAGTAGTCTCGGTGCAGCAATATTATTTGTTCATAAGAATTCATCCTTATGTTTAGAATAATCTGTTTTGTGCTCATGAACTCAAAGTTTTAGTTATATGTATATTTAACTAAATATCTATTGTTACATTCTTAATTTTCAAAAATCATATTTCAAAGGATCACTACTCTATACGTATTAAAGCGCACAAAAAGAAAAAAAATAACACTGCACATTTTTCTGTAGTAATCAGTTCAGCTTCCAATGTCTGACGAATTCTTAACAGCTGTTCAAGTTGTCTAGATAAAAATTGTTTTATTCTTTTCCATCTGAATAAAGTACTGTTTAAGATGACTATATCCATTGTTTTCTGGAATTGCAAACTGTAAAAAAATTGGTTTTGAGGAACATGTGCTTAGTAAATGTTAACTATAAAAATATATCACTACATAGATATTAGATGAATATTAAGTTAATTACATCTTCATTACATTCATCATAATTTTTATTAAATGATATTTAACTTGAAAACTGCCAATCTTCACTCAGTTAGTGGTTCTACTACATGTTTGACATATTAAAAATTTAGAAATATTATATATTGGAATGTTTCTTGTGGATTTTTCTGTTCCAGTTCTTTGTTGAAAACTGCCAGTTCAGCTGATCCCTTAATAGTAAAAATCTTCAATTAATGTATTAGTTTTGTATATTTTAAATATATATACTAAAATATAATACATTTTTCTAATTTAAAAAGTCATCAGAAGTGAAAATTTTCTGGAATTTTTTTGTTATAAGATATATCTGTAGTGGAAGAACACTTGTCCTTAAACATTTATACATGAATAATAGCTAAAAATATCTATATCTTTATTTTATTACATTTTCATTGTTTTAGGCTTTTGAACCAAGAAAATGTATAGGTAGCAAGTTCATTGTGACACTTTAATAGTGTTATCCCTTGAGGTCCAAAATTAGAGACTTTTCACCTTTTTATTTAAAATATTATAAATGCAGCTTCTTCTCAGATTATGTTAATAGGCAAACTTTAACTTATTTTAAACACATTAGTGTTGTCTAGAAATCTAAAATGTATGGCTTTTACTCCTGCGAGCGAGAAACACCTTCAAGACTACTAAGGACAACTTGATGAATGAGCTACATTGATTAGAAATGTGTATTCAGAATTTTATGTATAAGCCAAAAAAAGAAAGGATAGTTAAAAAAAAAAAAGATTATGTTAATCTAAGAGTAGTTAAAAATTCTCAGTTATTTGCTTCTTTATCTACATAATTCTTCCTGAGCTTGTTGGCGATGTTTATTTGGTACAAGGTGAATGTTGGAGTCCACTGATAGTCTTTCAATCCTCCTCCCAGAACCACTGTGCAGTGACTGTTAGCATTAGCAGAGGGTAACAAAAACCTTGTTTTAAATTCATGGAACATGTTCCAATATGAAGTCACTAGCAAATGCCCCACCGTAGTGTTGTGCGAACATGAAAACTTTAGGGAAATTTTTGATGAATCAAAGTGAAATCTCTGGGAATTTGGATAACAGTCCTCCATCTTCCTTTTCTTCAAAACTAGATTTGGCCGTGTTGTTGGGGTTACTGACCGTTGGCTGGAGGTCCCTGAAACTGTTTTAGGTTTTAATTTAAGGCGAATCAGGGATGATTTGAGAAGTAGACTATATAATAGATGATTTACTGCTAGAAAAACCGATTTATTTCCAGAGGGTAGTGAGTTAACCAAGAGTCTATGTATTTTTTTTTATCCTTTCCTTTACTCTTAACTCCTTTATTGTATTCAAACTAGAACTTCTGAAATCTTAAATGCAAAAAAAGACTTGTAATTTAATGATGGTTTTCCTGATAATGCTGAGCCTTTAAAGTTATGCTTTTGCTCATATCTGAGTACTGTTGTTAGATCTACATTAACATAAAACAAAGTCCACATTCCAATTTTGTATGAAAAAAATACTCCCTATTGAGGATACAACTTAAAGAATGCTATTTTGCTGAGTGATCATAAAATGCTTTTTCAAAAGAAAAAAATACTAATATTTTCTTTTTTAAGGTTACTGCATTAGACTTGAGAACTTTATAAAACATTTGAGGAAGTATTTAAGTATATTTGTTAAATACAACATATGTTCATATTCCATGTATATTTGTTTATAAATGGATAATAAATATGATTCTAATAATTCTGTGCTTATTTCAACACAGGCTGACAATTCTGCAACATATTACACTCTTGATTTAAATAAAGTATAGTAGCATAAAATACAAAAAATTTATGGTAACTTTTGGGGGCACCATTAGTTATCATTTTATTAATATAATGCCATAATATTAATATAAGGTAAATGTTTACATTTCCAGATGTGCTCTAAATTTATTAAAAATTAATCTTTTAGAAGATAATGTGATATTAAGAACTCAGAACTGCAAATTTAGTTGCTTTTAAGTGTGGATCCCTAATTTCATGTGGAATCAACTTGTTGGTGAGGTTCAACACGTTAAGCAGGTGGATGCTTTTGTGCCAAAGTAAGCCTCATTTCACCACTTCTTTAAGTCTCCGACTGTATTCATTGATAGGAAAATGAACTTACAGAATCTTTCTTGGACTTTTCTTTCCCCAAGAAAACAAGAGGGAAAGAAATCAGACTACTATTCATGAATATGGTCAGGATATCTTTAATACTCATGTGAATTTTTTTATCAATCACCATCATGATTTTAAGTCATGAATTTATTTTTACATGCCTATGCATGCATATCTACATGCATTAATTATTTAACTGATCGTAAATTCCATTAAATTTGAATGAATAGGAGGAATTTTCTTCATAGGATTTTGTTCTCGTTATGTTACATTTTATTTTCTTTTGGTTTATTTAATAATCAGTTTAAGGCTTATAAAGGTTGATTTGCTCCTGAACTGCTTTGTTCCCAGACATTGCCATCATCCCCAACTACCACCAAGTCCTCTCCATCTGATCCCATGACCACCTCCAGAGCTAATCAGGTACAGTATCATCCTCTCATCTACACCATACTTTTCACGGGTGATTGTCTGCAAACTGGAGGAAAAGATAATGGTGGGTTAAGGATTTATTCGTTCATTCACATATACGCACCATGAACAGATTCCAATACTTTGGAAAGAAATAAGCATTATTCCTAAAATCTTATATGCATCTTTAAATATAATTAGATAGCAGACTATTAGAATTCAATTCTTTTAAAATCGTGACTACTCTATGAAGTTCTGAGGGTTATTTAGTGAGTCTTTACTTTTTAATATCCCTCATTTTATCTTCCTGAAGTTTGTTATGTAACTTAACAATATCACATATATAAATACTCAATGTAAAAATTGAGCAAAGATATAGCTTTAAAAGTGGATGCAATTTTAATTGCTTTTTGAGACATAGTTCACTATGTAAACAATTGAAAACTACTGATGTATTTCTAGCAAACTAAAAGGCCTAGAAAATTGATATTTGTGATCCTTTTAATACTATCCAACAACTTTGAAGTTCATATTTTCTTAGTGTTTAAATTCTAAGCCTTTTCATTGCTGCAAACTTTGGAATTAGGAACACATTTTGTAGTTTGATGGATGAATATTTGGAATAGTTTTTCAATAGGACATTCTTCAAATGTAGATGTTAAATAGTATATTTATCAAAATAATTAAAATATTTTCATTTTGTTTGAGTTGAACTTCATTTAGGTGAGCAGTGCTATTGTCCTTATTTTTTTTTGTTGATGCAAGGCTTCTTGTGATTAATAATTAAAGCTCATCTTTAGTAGTTTCATATAGTTGACCAATAAATTCTTGACTTTTAACTACACTTGCTTTATATATACTTTAAATTTGTGTCCAAACAAACTTATCTCCTTCTTTATTCATCCTGATCCTGTTACAACCTCAAGGGAAAAAAATAATTTACTAATTTAAAGGAAAGGTAGAACTTAGCTTGTTGTTCAGTACTAGAAGTTTTACTTTCATTTCATGCAATGCAAAGTACATTGTTTATTGCCTTCAAACAAAGTACTTTACAATGCTCAGCTTTTACCTCCAATAAAAGGCTTAAAAAAATACATCTTTACTGATGAAACCTAGCTGAATGGAAATGTATGAAAAAAAATGAGAAGCAAGGTTGCGTTGTGTGTGCGTGATGTTGAACAGTGGTTATGCACTGTCCAAACCACATCTTTACATGGGGTGAAGTTACAAGTTGTAGAACACTGTTGGGACAACAAGAGATTTATTTTTGTGTTTCTCTTCTATGCCACCAGTTTTACTTTTACCAAACAAGAAAATATAAAGAGTACAACAATAAAAATAAGCCTAGCATTTTTTCTCCAAATGCCAAAAATCTTGGATATAACAAGCGAACAAAAAAAAAATCTTAATTGTGTTTCTGAAGTTAGGTTCTATTGTTCTTTCACCTTATATGATTATATAAATTTTTAATAAATTTGTTCAGGCTAGCTATATTTTAAAATGTACTCACACTGTAGTTTACCATACAAATAATCTTTGTCAAGTCTACTGTTTTACAATTTTGAAATAAATCATTTGTGATTTTATATCCTGTCTACTGAATTATATAATATTTGTTATTTATGCTCTATTTTCTTCTATTTTTGCACAAAGAAGCATAATATCTCCTGGATAACATGAAATAAAATAAAAGAACACAAATTGCATGATACTTTGGAAATTTTTGAAATATGGTATATATCTTAGTAGTAGTTGGTAATTATCTCATTCCTTAAAGTTTTTCCTAAATGATTCTGCCATGTGATGGGACAGAAGGAAGTTGGTGGGTTTTTTTGGTTAGTTGTTGTTTGGGGTTTTTGGTTTATTTTTTTGTTTTTAACTGTTCATGTGAAATTTAGTTTGCAGATGGTTCCAGTTAGTGTAGATTCATTATATTAATCTCTAAGTGTATGTTTACCCAATGTGGGCAGATATGTGTTAATATGATGTTAGATTTTCCATGAACAAAATAGCCTTTTCAACATATAACAAAATCGTTTTTATAACCAATGTAGTTCACTCCTGCATAGTAAGTTATACCAGTTTTCTTAGGGGACAGAAATGGATCAAAATAAAAGACTTTTTTTAGATTAAAAATTTTTCTTTATATGTTACAGCAAAAATGACAATCTTTGCTACCAAAAGTAACTATGCTAAATGGTTTTTTTCTTCCTTTTTGCAAACCAATAAAAACTACATATAACAGACATGGGTCCCTGCCCCCACTTGGAAGACCCAGCCCAGGACTCCTGACTTCCGCCTGGACCAATCCTGGTAGTTGTAGCATTTGAGGAAATGTGCAAGCAGCTCAAAGACCAGGATCTTTCTCTGTTCTTTTTTGTCTTTGTCTCTTTCTCTCTGCCTTCCAAAAAAAGGGACTTTTCAAAAACTCCAAACAACTAAACAACTAACATTCATGTTATTTCATCAGTATTAACGAATATGATTGTTTTTCAAAATAAATAATTTGTGCTGCAAAGTAATGTCATAGAAAGAACTCATGAAGTGTGAGTATTTACCAATAACTCCAAACTGAAAGCACACAAATCATTTCAAAGAGTAAGTCTGAACTGCACTTAAGATTTTTTTCTGTTCTTATAAAACTGACAATCCCCTGACCTATGTAGCAAACATTTAAAATTAAATTGATTTTTAAAAATAAAAAAATAAAAAGGAAAAAGAAATAACTACATGTTTTAGAATATACTGAATTTTACCTCCTTACCTTTGAATCCTTTTTGCATGGTCCAACTGACAGATTCCAACAATAGTATTGCACTGCAATAATTTCACCCCCCAAATGGAGGGGCTGTCATGAGGAAAACCTTATGAAATGTGGTTAAAAGTCAAAACTAGAGACAAATTCCCCGCAATCAAATACTATCTTGCCACTTCCTTTATTCTCTACTTCTCAACTGTGAAATTCACATACTAGCACCTCGTAAGAAATAAATCACTGTTTTTAATAAACTCTCCAGAATATAATAAATTCCAGGTTAATATTAGATTATATTTATTTTAGCTTTTAAAAATATAATTCAACTAATTTAAAGAAGAAATATGCTCAAAAACAGCAAATGGCCCAGCAGACAGCCAAAGATTGGTATTGGTTATTTCTTTTTCAGTTTTGGAATGGTTTTGTAATGAAAATGCTGTTCATCATAAAATCGCAGTGTTATATTTTTAGTGAGAATGCTAAGCCACTCCCTGCATAAAATCAATTATACTGCTAATGTTTTATTACTGAGAAAGAACAAGCAGCAGCAGTAATAGTTTTCAGGTTTTTTTTATAACCAGTGCTTCATATCGTAGTGTAAGTCTGAAATTTCTTTTTGTAAATATGAAGTACCATAGTGATTTAGGAAACAGAATTAGATTCTGTAAAGGGGCATGTTTAAATTTTCAAAAATAATCTGTAGCACTCAGTTAATTACAAATTTCTCATACAATGATATAATTGTTTTTAAGATTTTATTTTATTTTTATTGGAAAGTCAGATATACAGAGAGGAGGAGAGACAGAAAGTAAGACCTTACATCCAATGATTCACTCCACAAGCGGCCACAATGGCAGGAACTGTGCCAATCTGAAACCAGGAGCCAGGAGCTTCTTCCAGGTCTTCCACATGGGTGCAGAGTCCCAAAGCTTTAGACCATCCTCGACTGCTTTCCCAGGGCACAAGCAGGGGGATGGATGGGAAGCAGGGTGGCCAGGGTTAGAATCTGCACCCATATGGGATCCTGGCACATTCAGGGCAAGGTGAGGACTTTAGCCGCTAGGCCACCATGCTGGATCCTATGATGTAAGTCAGTGATGTCAAAAATTATAGATTTCTGAATGATAGTTATCCTAAATTTATCTCAAACTTTAGCTAAAGAGAGGAGAAAAAATGATGTCAGCTTATTGATTTATGTGCATTTATTTATTTATTTACTGATAAAGTTGAAACTACATGACATTTATTAAAATATATAACCCACATGAACATAAGTAACTCATATCCTGTACTCCTGCTGTGATTACAGGAAATTAACCACAACTGGTTTGTGTTACTTGAATTGCTAATCTCATATCTGAAATGAATTCTTAGTTTTGTCAGTAGGCCCATTAGTTTACTGTCCACATAGCTAAGTTTCTGTTTTCTTAACCCTTTATAATTGCTAACAAATTATCCCCAGTTCACTAGCTCAAACAGCATCCTGTTAGTCTCCCATATTCTGTATGTCACGCATCCACACCTACTGAATCCAGACAGAATGAGTCTTCAGTTTCATGGGATTGTCATTAGAGTGTCAGCCAGGCTGCATTGTCATCTTCAGTTCTTGGCAACTTGTAGGTTCTTGCAGCCGTTTGACTGAAGGTCTTCTTACTGGCAGTTGGCTAGAAACTGCTTAAAGTTCCCTGCCAGGCTGCCCTCCTCCCAGGTCCGTGCCCAGCCGCCCTCCTCCCAGGTCCCTGCCAGGCCGCCCTCCCTCCTCCCAGGTCCCTACCATAGTGCCCTCTCAGCTAGGTCATGGGTTGATCGCTGCTTCTTGGGAAAATCCTTAGGATTCCTTCTCCATTGCATATTAGTAAGATGGAGTCTAACATATATAACCTAATGACGGGGTGACTTTCTCACCTCTTTTGCCAAAAATCTTAACCATAATAGTAACATTTTACTACTGCTGGCATTTTCTTTTGGTTTGAAACAAATCATATTCCACCTGTACTCGTAGGGACAGTTTATAGGCGATAACACCAGCAAATGCAGAACATCAGTGCCATCTCACGATTGTCCCTGCCAATCTCCCCAATATCTCCTCCTCTTCCAACTAAGGACCTTACTTCCTATTCTACTGTGAAAATGGAAGCTTCAAAACAGAACTTCCATAAACTCATACCAACAAATACTTAATGGAGCAGCATTTTTTTTAATGCTTATTGTATCTGTGCTGGTTCACTCCCAGAATGTATTACAAATCATTCAGAAA